CGACGTGACCTAGGCTCGCTTGGTCTATGCTCCCCCGACTTCTGCTTGTGACCTGCGCTCGCTTTAGCTATTTCTGACTAATATATAATATATAACTATATTATATATAGGGTTAGGGTTAGTCAGAAATAGCTAAACGAGCCAGGTCAAACAGAGGTCAGGGGGACATAGCCCCTACGAGCCTCAGTAAGGAGCGAGACAAGCACGGGAAGCAGAGTAGGTCCGTGTAGGAAGCTAGCTAGGTCCGTGTACCGCGGCCACTATAGTTTACATCTGTCATCAGCACCACGCGATTAAAGATAGTTGTAAACACACAAGACATCCAGCCCCCCCCCCCTATATAGTGTACATATTATGTACATATAGTGTACATATTATGTACATATAGTGTATATAGTGTACATATTATGTACATATAGTGTACATATTATGTACATATAGTGTATATAGTGTACATATTATGTACATATAGTGTATATAGTGTACATATTATGTACATATAGTGTACATATTATGTATATAGTGTGTAGACCTATTTACTGACTGCTGTCATATTGCCGTTCACTGCCACGGCTTATCATTTTGTTTTTTCCCGGTTGGCCTACTCCTATTTCGCCTACGGCAAAATTCCCATTTCGCCTACAGCAAATTTCCCAGTTGATCTACACCCATTTCGCCTACTCCCAATTCGTCTACGCTTAAAATCTACCCCATTCCCATTTCGTCTACGATCAGTTTGTTCACTAAATAATCATTTATAAATAATAAAATATGGTTTTGATTGGCATATATAGACTACAGGAACCAGAAGCAAAACAGGTACAAATAATCAGAACACAACTTGTACAATGTACATTGTAGTACAATGGGAGTAGGCGAAATGGGAATATTGCCGATTCTGAGACTAGACGTGATAGGAGTATTTCATTCCTGCGTGTTAGTCTCGTTTTCGTTTCTCATTCCTCGATTTTCAGCGACTTATGGAGTGAGTTAAGGCAGTACGCGAACAACTCATCTCCATCTATATCCGTGTCTTCATCTCCCCCCCTTCTTGCAAAATATATATTTTCTTAACAACTCAAGCAATCTTTTTTTTCGTTTTCAGGAATCGAAGAAGATGATTCGCTATCGGGAGGGTCAGGTGGTTAGCATGAAGGGCGAGCGCTTTACGGAGATTAAGCAGGCAACCGATGAACGAATGAAGAAAACCTTCGTCAGTCTGAAACCAGCGCGCCAGTATCGCTTTCACTGACAGTGGCGCTATCTGTGTCTTAACAGCTTGGAGGCCAGGTGAATGTGTGTGCGTGCGTGCGTGCATGCGTGCGCGCGCGTACGTGTGTGTGTGCGCGCGCGTGTGTGTGTGTGTGTGTTCGCGTGTGTGTGTGTGCGTGTGTGCGCACGTGTGTCTTTTGAAATTAAATTTTAAAAATCTAAAATCACGAACAGGAGTCATGGGTTGGCACTAACGGGCGGATTGGGGGTGGGGGTGGAGTGAAATTCAATACATAAGTAACATAACAGTGTTTACAAGCTATATATGGTCTGGTTTGATTATGTCACATGCCTTGCTTGCTGTAGCTTCTTCCTGCATATCATAACCATACTGTGCATTTAGAGAAGCTGATGGCTGATGTTGTTGATTCTGCTGCTGCCGCTGCTGTTTTGTCATTGTTGTTGTTTGTATTGTTGTTGTTGTTGTTGTTGTTGTTGTTGTTGTTGTTGTTGTTGTTGTTGTTGTTGTTGTTGTTGCTGCTGCTGCTGCAGCCATGCACTGTTGCTTGTATTAGTGTTGTCATCATTGTCAGTGGTGTTATTGTTTTTTTTTCAACTGTCATCGTTGTCGTTATCATTGGCATCATTGTCGTTGCCATTGTTGTTGTCATTCTTGTTGTTTTTGTCACTGTCATCATCATTGTCGTTAATTTTGTTGTTATTATTGTTGTTGTTGTTGTTGTTGTTGTTGTCGTCGTCATCATCGTTAATATTGTTGGTTGGGGTCTTCTACAGTTCCCTCTTTTGTATTTTGGTATGAATTCTTATTTGTGTATTTTCTTTTGCATGTTTCAGGGAGAAACGTTTCGGTATAACTCGGCAAGCATTGCATCTTGAATGGGTCTTGACTTATTCTTGAGGATTTTACATGAGCTCAAATGAGTGACGTCATCAACTAATGGTCTTGCGGCATCATATTCATAAGCAGGACAATATCTCTTTAGTTAACATGATCTCGTTACTGGGGCTGCTAGGCATCGGACTGTTTTTAAGGCTGTCTACATGCAAGAAATAGAAACAATACAGAACAAGAACGAGTAAGATACAAATCCGTAATCACCCTGTACTAAATATGTTTTACTGCACTCCACTTACAAAATGTTTTAAACAAATGTGTAATATACATATGTCCTATTATCTTACTCCTACTTGTATGTAAGGGTGTATGGACTCATCACATTATGCAGGGTCAAATTTGATCCAGGAAGTAGTAGGAAATGGAATGAGAGGTGCAGCATAGCTATTCTCTTTGCGTTTTATTGCGTAGGTTATTGCCAGTGTTTGCGTAACCTGTTGCTTGGTATCTTAGTGGAAAGTGCATGTTTATGAGTCGCGTTGTTTTCGTTGTGGAGACGGAAGGTGCAGAGGGTGTTTTGTGGAGCTTGAGCAAAACGAGATTTTGAATGGCAGGGGTGCTGTAAGAAAGGCATGATGGTGTGCGGTTGAGGTATTCTTCGACTCATGTTCTTTCTTGAGCGGTAGTAATATGATGTGGGTTGTGGTAAGAGTTGGTGTGGATAGATTAAAGATTAGGGAATCCAGATATCCATACCTAGAGTGGTTTTAGTAGAAAGAATGCAGAATCTATGGTTGAAAGTATATGTATTGTGTAAGTTGTTTTTTGAAAAAAAAATCATGTATAGATTTTAATGTTATGTTATTTAGATGTTAATGTGTATTTTTTATCTTTTTTATTCATTTGATTCATTATTGTATGCTATTTATTGTTTTCCCCGGTAAGATTCTTGTTTTTAGTACTTGTTTAATAGTGATGTTGTAGTGTATACAGAAACTGACAAATTTTCAATTGAATTTGTTTAATATGTTGTGAGTTTGCAGTGAATAAAATTTTAAATGTGCATATTCTTTTACTTGTGTTCATGGCATATATTCGTTTATCTTATGGCTACGGTTTTTTCTGGTTAATGTTTACCGTTTACCGCTCGTCTTTGTGACGTGTCAAGTATTAGCACGTTATTAAATAACGTCATTAAAATATTAAATTTGGTATCCTATTAGATCTGTTGAAATACTAGAATAATATACATATATCTATGTTATATTCAAGTGTGACTGTATTATTTTGACATTTAACGGCTTGACACAAATCCTTTAATTCTTGTAAATCACAAATTTCCCACTGCACGTGGATTTTAGTGTGGTTGCTTTGTAATTTCGCATGTAGTTTCAATCAATTATGTAAGCTTCACTTGCTTCTATATCGGATGTTGGCATATCTATTGAATGTAGGTAGACAGAATAATAAGCAGCTAACAATAACACATTGAGGCCGTTAACAACGCATGTATTTGCATAAATCAGATATCACGAGGGCAATATACCATGCAGTATCAAACCGTAGTACAGGATAAATAAATACTTCTTAAAATATTGTAGACATACTAATAATATTACAGAAGTAGTTACTATAGTATATGGCATGTTTTTTGTTTAATAATTAGATTTTTTTTCATGGTTGATTTTATCACATATAACATTCGATTTATCACATATAACATTCGATTTATCACATATAATATTCGATTTATCACATATGACATTCGATTTATCACATATAACATTTGATTTATTGCATATAACATTTGATTTATCGCATATAATATTTGATTATTTAATCATATGTTATGTGCAATAAATCGACAATAATTCCCTGTTTTAAATGTTCACATTATTTGATTTTATATAAGAAAAGAGAATCAAACCATTCGATCCTGGCATCAAACTATTCGGTTTTGGAATCGAATCATTCGATCTGTGAATCGAATCATTCGATTCTGGAATCGAATGATTCGATTCACGGATCGAATGCTTCGATTCACGGATCGAATCATTCGATTCACGGAATTACGTGCTTTCCGGCTGGCCGGCTCTGTCCCGAGCCACGGCTCACTTTAATCTCGGGCCCGACCGCTGACCTTGACCTTCCCGTTTCTGTTTTGTACATTCCCCCTTACACCGGTTGCGTTCCCGCATCGCCATCACTTTCCTGGCGTGTGGGATTTGCCCACTTACAATATATTGTGCATTCTGCGGGCCGGCCGGTGAGCACAAGACGCCTCGATCGCTCCCTCCCTCTCTCCTTCCCCCCTCCCGCCCTTCCTCGCTCACTCACTTACCACCTCGACCTCCGACCCCATCCCGCCCTCTCTCCCTCTCACTCACTTACCACCTCGATCCCTTCCTCTCTCCCTCCCTCCCTCCCTACCTCCCTCTCACTCTCCCTCCCTACCTCCC